TACCAGACTGAAACCACACGGATGCAAGAGCCAACGTTGCCTGCCACGCATTAGCAGAAGGCAGTGGCCAAGTCTCAGACCCCTTGGGTCTTGTTTCTTTACTCCGTGTAAGGGGGGTAATACCCACCACACGGGGTTGTGTACTACGTGTGCGGCTTAATTAGTGCAAAACCGCTGCACACATTCTAACAAAAGGACTGACGACAACCGTACGCTGGCTGCTGTGTTTCTTGAGGCAAGGTGTCACGATGTCGCCCAGGCTAGTCTTGAACTCGAGGCGCTCCTCCGGCCTTAGCACTGCGTCCCGAGTACTGGGATGGCCGGGAGCACCAACCCGCGCGGTTGGACTGCTATTTTTTCAAAGCTGGGTGTGACAGAAGGGAACCAGAGGAGCTCCCGGTGGCCGATTCCACAGGAGGGCCTCGGGGCGGTTTAAAGGGCCGGAGGCTCGCCCGTCTGCTCGCGGCCTGCCGGGAGAACCCCGCCGGGACTCCGTCACTCACCTGATAGCGTGTGCGGTCGGGTCTCACGGCACACGGGCGTCCGCAGCCGCCCGGCTACCCAGCAGCCGTTCGGGTACCTGCGGGACGGCCATCGCCAGGCGCTCGTCACTTCCGTCATTCAAACGGCCCGCCAATGGCGGGAGCGGACGGCGGGAAGCAGCCTGGTCCCGCCTCCGCCGGGGCCGCCGAGTAGGCCGCGCTGTGCCGAGGCCCCGCCCATCTCCAGCCCCGCGCACGCGCAGCCCTGCCTCCGTTCGCGCACGCGCAGTGTTGCGCAGCGGGCCATTATTTCTCACAGCTCCCGGGTTCCCGGTCTCACTTCCTCTCCGGAGCCGCGTTGGCTTCACAGACTCAGAAGCAGAAATGTAGAAAAGGGCAGCTCTCTGGCGAGCCACGAAGAGGGACGTTAGTCTTTCTTGTTCTTGAGACGCGTTTGCTTCAGTTGCCTGGCACTTAGAGCTTCTCTTTGTTGAGCTGCTGAGTGGACAAATTATGTGCTCTGCCCAGCTGGCCTCTGGAAAGATAATCCCCAAGTGGAAATTTGAGATTGAGATATGTTTTGTTTGTAATAGGAAAACAGGAGGAATCAAAGTAAGCGCAGTAGGCTGAGAAGGTCAGACTGCATCGCGACTCTATTGCATTCTAGCTGAGACCCTAAACCGCTGGAGTCATAGTTTCCCATTAGACCTGTGTTTTTGTAGACCAAGCTGCCCTGGAACGTCCAAAGTGGCGTATTCTTTTCACCTGGCATGTTTCCTGCCAGCTGAGGGCTCGGTTGCCAGTGCTCAGTGGGTGTCTACCTCCCTGTGCCTTGGTTGTGGGGACCAGACAGACATCTGTCTCTCACTGCTTGTTCGCTGGTATCCTAAGAGCATTCTCTGGCAGAGTGCGACTCTTAGTGCTTTTGCTGAGACATTGTAAGTTTTGACGCATTTTTGGGCTAAGTATCAGGGCCAGCCCAAATTCAAGTTAGGAGGAAATTAAGTCTTTTTTATAATAATAAATTTTTATTGATATTTATTGAGCTCTACATTTTTCTCTGCTCCCCTCCCTGCCTCTTCCCTCACCCCTTCAACCCTCCCCCAAGGTCCCCATGCTCCCAATTTACTCAGGAGATCTTGTCTTTTTCTACTTTCTACTTCCCATGTAGATTAGATCCATGTAAGTCTCTCTTAGAGTCCTCATTGTTGTCCAAGTTCTCTGGGATTGTGGTTTGTAGGCTGGCTTTCTTTGCTTTATGTTTAAAAACCACCTATGAGTGAGTACATGTGATAATTATCTTTCTGGGTCTGGGTTACCTCACTCAAAATAATGTTTTCTAGCTCCATCCATTTTCCTGCAAAATTAGCTGTCATTTTTTTCTGCTGTGTAGTACTCCATTGTGTAAATGTATCACATTTTCCTTATCCATTCTTTGGTTGAGGGTTATTTAGGTTGTTTCCAGGTTCTGACTGTGACAAACAATACTGCTATGAACATGGTTGAGAAAACATGTCCTTGTGGCACGATTGAGCATCCTTTGGACATATACCCAAAAGTGGTATTGCTGGGTCTTGAGGAAGGTTGTTTTCTAAATTTCTGAGAAATCGCCACACTGACATCCAAAGGGGCTGTACCAGCTTGCATTCCCACCAGCAATGCAGAAGTGTTCCCTTCTTCCCACAACCTCTCCAGTATAAGCTGTCATCAGTGTTTTTGATCTTGGCCATTCTTACAGGTGTAAGATGGAATCTCAGAGTTGTTTTGATTTGCATTTCTCTGATGACTAAGGATGTTGAACATTTCCTTAAGTGTCTTTCAGCCATTTTAGATTTCTTTGTTGAGAGTTCTCTGTTTAGGTCTGTACTCCATTTTATTATTGGATTATGTGTTCTTTTGGTTTCCAATTTCCTGAGTTCTTTGTATATTTTGGAGATCAGCCCTCTGCATAATGTGGGGTTAGTGAAGATCTTGTCCCATTCTTTAGATTGTCATTTTGTCTTGTTGACCATATCCTTTGCTTTACAGAAGCTTTTCAGTTTCAGGAGGTCCCATTTATTAATTGTTTCTCTCAGAGTCTGATGATAAAGTACAAAGTAATGTCGGGTGAAGTGCACTCCTGTAATATTAGCACTCAGGAGGCAGAAGCAGGGGCATCATCACAAGTGTGAAACCAGTCTAGGGTACATAGCAAGTTCCTGACCAACCAGGGATGCATAATGAGACCCCTATTCAACAAACAAGCCAAAAATAAAGGGAATCTTCTGTTGTGAAATAGATTGTTTACTATGTAAAGATATGTTGCATTTATTTGTGTTGCAGAATATCTGTTTGACTATGTAAAGATGTGTTGCTGGTTTACCTTGTCTGCCTAAGGCACCTGATTAGTCTAATAAAAAGTTGAATGGCCAATATCTAGGCAGAGGAGGGATGGGTGGGAAGGCAGGCAGAGGACAAAGGGGCCAGCCAGCCAGCAGGGGTTCAGCTAGCCAGGGCTGCCTAGCTAGAAATGGAGAGAGCAGGACAGCATGACGGACAGTGCGAAGAGGACGTAAGTGACCTTCAGGGCACCACATAGCTTAATAGAAATCAGTTCCTTTAAGTTCAAAAGAGTTAGCTAGAGACAAGCCTAAGCTAAGGCCTAGCACTTATAATTAAGAATATGTCTCTGTGTCATTATTTGGTTGGTGGACCAAAGAACATCCCAACTACATTTGTAGCCCAATGTGGGGGCATATATTTCTATGTAGGGCCTAAGAAAGCTGAAAAAAAGAAAGAAAGGGAAGGAAGGAAGGAAGGAAGGAAGGAAGGAAGGAAGGAAGGAAGGAAGGAAGGAAAAGAAAGCAGACACAGCTTCTTAGTAGCCAGGTTTTCATAGTATACAGAGGCAGTCTCTGTTATACAGCAAAACACTTGAGCAGCTGGCACTTTAGAAACAACAAACTAAGTAAAAACACCCCACAGTGTGGTCACCAACTTCCGAGAGCTGGGTCAGTTAAATGCAGCTCCTGGTTAAACACAGCTCCCAGTTAAACACAACTCTCAACCAGGACCATGGGGCATAAGCTTGGCTCTCATGGACTCGAGCAGGGTGGAGCCAGCCACCAGTACAAAGCCCAGCAGTGAGTTTAAGGTTTGGCTGACATGGTCAGAGAATGCTACAGGTACACAGCAAGGCAGGTCCAGACCAACATCTAAAGAGGTTCCAGTGTGTTTTAAAATGTGCATAGGTGCTTAAAAATGTGAGTATAGATGGTCATAACAAAAAACAGTTTAAAATCATAAAGTAAAGTCAAGAGAGAGAGAGAGGTAATATAAAGGAAAATGTATATAAAATATAAAGATGGGAAATAAACAGGGAGTCTGGATCTTATAATGTGCTGTGTTGAATTTTTTTAATTGAATGAGCAAATGACAGCTGCTGAGAGATAATGGATTGTAAAATGGATGCTGACTTAAACTAGCCTGGATACTTTAGGGATGTCTTAACTTGAAATTGGAATTCAGAAAATGGATTGCACTGGGGACGAGGTTATGCTTTTTGTTTCCACAGTAAATGAAAGGTTGTAGATTCCTTCAAGGTTAATAGAGATCAGTTTTGACTGCAGGAGACCTCCTGAAAATCTTGGCTACAGACATAAAGAAATAAATCAAGAAAGACTACAAGATAGGTAATATCTATTCTTCTCCCTGCACATGGGAACTGTTCTGAGACCAGACAACAAATGTTACAACTAGTTTTCTGTTGTAGGAAGTGGGTGACCCTTTGTTCCAGCTGTCCCACTAGCTTACACCCGAAATAATCACACACAAACTGTACTTATTAAATCACGGCCTGGCCCATTATCTCTAGCCTCTTATTAGCTAACTCTCACGTCTTGATTTAACCCATTTCTATTAATCTGTGTTCACCACAAGGTTGTGGCTTACTGGGAAAGATTTAGCATGTCTGAACTGGTGTGTCCATGGTGGCTCTCTGTCTTTGCTTTCTTCCTCCCAGAATTCAGTTCTGTCTCCCCACCTACCTAAGTTTTGTCCTATCACCAAGCCCAAAGCAGTCTCTTTATTAACCAATGAAAGCAACACAAATACAGAAGGACCTCCTACACGAGTTTTCCCCAGACTTGACCACTGTCTCAATTTTTTCAGGGTCCCCTAAAGATGCTGTTGCCCCCAGTCAACAGCAATCAGTCTAGAGAACACAATGCCTACATTCCAAAGAGAGGGTGTGGCGGTTTTTGTTCATTCAATGGGTTAGATGTTTGTCATTGGGGGGGGGGGATATAGGAATATAGGATAAAAAGGCAACTATTAACATCAAGTATTTTATATTGGGTTGGATTTTGGTATATTGATACAAATTTAAAGTTATTTTTGCACTCAATCTGCCCTGCCCCGACCAACGCCGCGTCACGCCTGAGCGGTGTCTTCTGGATAAAGTGTGGCTCTGGAAAGTTTGAAGAGCGCATGCGTGTGCTGGCTCGCTCCTTTTGGCTCCTCGGCCATCAGTGAGGCAACATGGGTCACCAGCAGCTCTACTGGGGTCACCTGCGGAAGTTCGGCCAGGGATCCTGCTCCTGCTGCGGCTGCTCAAACCACCATGGTCTGATCCGGAAATACTGGCTAAACATGTGCCGCCAGTGTTTCCGGCAGTACGCGAAGGACATCGGCTTCATTAAGTTGGACTAAGCAACCTTGAATGGATTCTTCTAGACTCTACCCAGTGGAAAAGATGAATGTCAGTCTTTGTACATAAGAATAAAACAAAGTGAAGACCTTCAAAAAATATTTATATTTGTTATGCCGTATGTATGTTTCTACTCTTGTTTATTGTATTGTGCTTATGCAAATCATTTAAAAATACAATGTATAATTTAGAAATGCGGGTTAGCAGTCATCTATAGTAATCAAACTTGTAGTCATATTAGGTATGTTTTAAAAGTTAAACATATATTTTAGATAGGTAGATAGGTGATCTCCAAATGCTTCAGAGACCTGCACAATTTGATATTTAAGATGTTTAATAACCTAAGGTTTCTCATGAGAGTGAAATATGTCTGCCCCTGACAGCATCAATCAATCTACTTCATAAAAGGATGATGGGCATCAAGGAACCTCCATATGGAGTTTGCTTTCATTATTGTAAAATTAGCCATGTGGGCAAGAAACTGACTTTGTCACAACTCCACAAAGGAAAGTGACTGCTGAAAGATCTAAGAGAGAAAGGAGCAAGCCTCTGCCAACTCCTACCTTGCTAACTCCTCAGTCAAAACAGAACTGAGCTCCTGTCTCCTCTCACCTTATATTCCTCTCTCTGCCGAGCCATATAACTTCCTGTTTGTCTATACAGGCCTCCAGACTTCTATGATTAACTAGTGGCTAGCTCTACTCTCTGATCTTCAAACAAGCTTTATTTGTTAGAGCACAAACAAGATATTACCACATTGTTCCTATGAGATGCAACAAACCATTGGTATAAGCTGCAAGTGTGTAAGCTGTTAGTTATGTGCTTACAAAGACAGGAAGGGGTAGACAAAAAGGAAAACAAGGTAATTTACAACACAGAAAAGTATACAGGCAAGTGGGGCTATGTAGAGACAACATTGGTTGGCTTTTCTTTTTTGGTTTTTCAAGTCAGGATTTCTCTGTAGCTTTGGAGCCTGTTTTGGAACTAGCTCTTATAGACCAGAATGACCTTGAACTCACAGAAATCCACCTGCCTATGCCTCCTGAGTGCTGGGATTAAAGGCCTGTGCCACAACCGCCTGGCTTGACATTGGTTTTGATGTTGGATTCAGATGTGGGTCAGAGCACCTGCTTTACTAGAAGTTAGCATCTCTGAAGCTCTTGAGGATAAAGAATCAGTTTTCACAGATCATTCTCCTTGCCAGAAATTCCCATTCCATCGAACAGCAGTTGTAAAGACAACGTTTGAAAACTCAAGCTGTAGGCCAGCCTGGTCTACAGAGCTAGTTCCAGTACTGCCAGAGCTGCTACACAGAGGAGTGTTGTCTTCAAAACCCCAAAACCAACCAACCAAATAAATAAAAATAAGAACTCAAGCTGTAGGCTGGAGAGATGGCTTAGTGGTCACGTGTCCATACAGATGGTCAGGGTTCCTTTTCCAGCACTCAAATGCTAACTCACAACCATCTCTAACTCTAGTCCTCTTCTGACCTCTACGGAACACACACACACCTCCAAGCAAGACATGCACAAAACAAATGAATAAATAAAATCCCTCAAGCTGTAAAAACCAAGTAGGTTGTCATCATCTTACTTGGAAGCATAAACAATCATAAAAGATCACTGAATGATTTGTCCACCATTACTGAGCCACTGTAGGTGACATCCATCTTAGCATTTCTGTTACTGCCAACTGACCTACTTTAATTCATCTCATGAGGCCCTCTCCTGTTTGCGTACCTTTCCTTTATCTAAGATTATTTCCAAAGTGAAGCTAGGAGAAATATTGTGAAATCATGGTACTTGGGATGAGGAGGCAGGAAATTAGCATTTTGAAACCAGTTTGGGCTGTGCCAACCTGTTCGACACAGTGAGAATATACCTCAAAGATGAAAAAACAAGACAAAAATACAGCCGAGTAGCAAGATCATTTCTCCTTATTTATGCACATTTAAACACTTGGTAGCCCAAAGTCAGCAGCAGCAGGGACATAGGGAGATGGTCGGAGATTCAGGTCCTGCTTTGACTTCATGGACCACAATCTCCAGTTTACTTATTTACATGTTTCTTTATTTTTTTAAAATTATACAGGAATTGAATTCAAAGCCTCATTGATAGACAAGTACTCTATCAATATACCCCAAGCCCTTAGAAAATATATATTTCAAATAGACCTGTCCATGCCAAGAGAGTTTGAGTATAGAGTTTATTCAGTGGGTTATGGAGTGAAGGGGGAAAGGGAGAGGGAGACAGAAGAAGGCGGGTATAGGAGAAGCAGCAGCCATCTCTTCAGAAGAGGGACAGAACAGAGAGAGAGGGTGGGGGAGACTGCCTGTACAGGCTGGAGGAAAATCCAGGCTGGAGGAAGATTGGCTTAAAGGGACAGGACAAGGCAGCAGCAGGTCATAACAGTATGTCAATGGGCATTTCCTCTTGCTCAACATTACAACCTATTTTGGGCAGGGAGCATGGAATGATGTGTTCTTTTCTGTAACCACTTCAAGCTGACATTGGGGCATTGTTATCAGGGCCCAAGAAGGTTGAAAGGCTGGTTAAAGGTAAGGAGGGAGTTCAGGCAATGGGGCATTTACCAGAAGCACATGGTTCACTGACTGCGCTGAAGAGTCAGGGAGCATTCACATCAGCTGGACTGGTCCACATCAGCTTTCAGCAAGCCCAGGGCTTGCAGTCATCTGGAGTAGGTTGTAGTCAGCAGCTGATGCTTGAATGTGTCTGTCACCCAAGTGGAAACCTATTGAGACAAGTTTAAACTAGGGACAGTAATTAAAATTTATAAACTTAGAGGAAAATATTATATTTGAAATTTTCAGGAAGGGGAAGAGTCCCAAGACCAGGGGAGAGAAAAATATCCTCTTCAGGAATAGACAGGAGGGGAAACTTAGGCTGTACATATCTGGAATCCTTTTGTTCCGTGAGAAGAGGATCCAGGGATTTTTTTTCTGAAGCCTGTATGATTTTTTTATTGTACAAAAGGACATAAAGTTTCGCCAATCTATACTGAAATCCACATAAAAGCCAAAGCAGGTAATGGGTGTCTGTAAAACAGCAGGAGTGCACTCATTTGAGAAGAGCAGAAACTACAGACTTGAGTTAGAAGCATGTATATTTTTCTTCTGTCCTGAGAGCCAGGTATAGATTAGGCAGAGGTATCTTTGGCCTATTGAAAAGTACCTTTAATTTTATATTTAGATGGCAACCAAAATAAATTCAAAATCTCGAGTTTGTGACTGAGGAATGAGTAGTCATTGTCTTACCACCTTATTAGAATTCTATTAATTAATTCTAAACTCTAAACTTTTATATCATAAAATGGAAAAACAATATGAAACAATTTTTGTATCTTTATAACTTGCATTTATATCTTAAATAATGTTTGGGATACTTAAAGCTTATAAACTTTTATATCCTCAGACTCTTTTTTTTTAAAGATTTATTTATTTATTTATTATGTATACAGTGTTCTCTCTGTCTGTATGCTTGCTGGCCAGAAGAGGGAACCAGATATCATTACAGATGGCTGTGAGCCATCATGTGGTTGCTGGGAATTGAACTCAGGACCTCTGGAAGAGCAGTCAGTGCTCTTAACCTCTGAGCCATCTCTCCAGCCCCGGCTCAGACTCTTTTTTAGACCCATATCAAGACTTGATTTTTTTATATATATAAAATGAGCTAACAAGCTGGCTCTAGCCTTGGGAAAGAATCTGGTTGCCTGGTGCTAAGCTAACAAAGTTATAGCTAGCCCAACCATCAATACTATCAGAAATCCTAGAAGGATAAATTGTACCTGAATGTAGACCAAGTAGCTTCCAAATCTATTAAAAATGACAGGGACCAGTCCATACTCAGCTAGTCACACCAGCTCTCCATAGCATTGAAAGCGGAAATATCAGAACAGCAGTATTTGCTAGGTCCATAAGGTGAGAGTTCCACCCCCTCCTCCCGAAGAGGGACAAGGGAAAAATCGACCTTATTTTTGTCTAGGCAAAAGTGGTGCAATCGATTCTCCAGTGCCTTGCTGCTTGTCCACAGTCTGGGCTGGATCTTGGCAGCAGGTGGTGCATTGGGGCATCTCGCCCAGTGGTCAGCATCATTATAATCCTGGTGGAGACATGGTAGTGCCCATAATCATCTTTGGAGACCTTGGGTCGCTGCTAGGATCTGGGAGTCTCTGTCTGATATACGCTTTTAAACAACATTTTCAATGCCATGTTCTTCAGATCTCTGAAGTATGTGAGGGCTGCCCAGGTATATCTGTATAGATAACTTTGTTCCTAGTTACTTGTTTTAATCTTAACTTTTGAAAACATATACAGAGGACTAAGTAAGGTTTATCCCTGTAATTAATTATAACAGTAGTACTTAGCAAGGCTAAAATTAATGAACTTCATCATTTAGAAAGATAGCCATTAACTTGTATTTCTTAACATTTTACAATAAGTTAGCACCTTTTATAAGACTATGACTTTATATTACATTTCTGCCAGGATTAGCTTTAAAAATAATGATTTTGAATTGAAGCTCTTTTTTTTAGTAAGACATAGAACATTTATATGACTCAGTTTATCCAAATAGCTTAAGCTTAGCAAAGTTAGCAAAGATGAGGAGGCTAGACATACATTTTTAAGCCTGAATAGACCTTGAGTGAGGAGAGACATTTTCTAAGCTAATTCTCAACTTTTTTTTAATGCTCTGATCTTTTAATATAGTTCCCCAAGTTGTGGTGAGTCTTCTTCTTCTTCTTCTTCTTCTTCTTCTTCTTCTTCTTCTTCTTCTTCTTCTTCTTCTTCTTCTTCTTCTTCTTCTTCTTCTTCTTCCTCTTCCTCTTCCTCTTCCTCTTCCTCTTCCTCTTCCTCTTCCTCTTCCTCTTCCTCTTCCTCTTCCTCTTCTTCTTCTTCTTCTTCTTCTTCTTCTTTTTTCTTACCAAGACTGGGCTTCTCTGTAGCTTCGGAGCCCGTCCTAGAACTAGCTCTAGTAGGCAGGCTGGCCTTGAACTCACAGAGATCTGCCTGCCTCTGCTTCCCTAGAGCTGGGATTAAAGGCACGTGATGGCCCAGCCTGTCATTGCCATGAATG